AAAAAGCAAAGAAAAACAAAGGCAAAAAAAAAATATAAAATAGGGACTGGGGAAGGTGGAGGGAGTTAAAAGAAAGAGAAGGGGAAGCACAAGAACTCGGTTTAAAGGCAAGTGACAAAAACTCCAGCAGCAGGTGGAAAGGGGAGAGCGGAGCTATGGCAGTAGCGAGCGTTGGCAGGAAGCTGTGGAAGAGCTCGTGGTTTGATTGTGTTTGCTCTCAGGCTCCTCCAGGAAAGGTGGAAGAAGTGGTGAAGGTTGCTATTGATGCAGGCTACCGCCACTTTGACTGTGCCTATCTCTATGAGAATGAAAATGAAATAGGGAATGCAGTCCAGCAGAAGATCAAGGAGGGGGCTCTGAAACGGGAAGACCTCTTCATTGTCACTAAGGTACAAGGATTCAGGATTATTGGGGCATTTAGCTTTTGTTGGAGAGAAACCCTTGTTCTGTCTATAAAGTAACATAAGGACCTATTCCCTTCTCCAATGTTCATTTCTTGTTGTGTGCTATAAATGCCATCCTTTATTTGCAATTTGGACTGAGCTTTATCAAGAACCATTGACAGCTTAGGAAAGATAGCATGGCTGTTGCTTATCTAATTATTTCTTTGCATCTATTAAGTCACTTAATTATACTGAAGGTTCGTTTGCATGCACCCTAGAAAGATCAGTAAAAAAAAGGACAACACTGATGTCTGAATTCAGGGGTGCTGTGCTTCTTACTTGTGTACAAGACATTTGAAAATGGTGTCATGTGCAAAACGTGAGCCTGAAAGGGAATGGAAATTAAAGCATGGGACTTCAATCTGAAGTATTTTACATATATTTACTCCATTCCTTTATCTCATCCGCTTGTCTTAGCAATGCTCTTTACCAAAAAGTAAGAACACTTCAACTAAAAAACTTAGGACTTGGAATTTTCACGAACAAAACCAGAAAACATTGAGTATAACTAAGCTTTTCTGCATACTCTTTGATTTGTTAAAGAATGGGTTTAAATTTGGATAATACTTGCAAGTTCTTCTATTTAAGTGACGTTAATTTTCATTTCAAAAATTAAGTAAAATTGACAACAGTTCTCACTGTGGCCAGTTAAGGGACAGAAGGAGGATAGCTACGAGCTGCTCAAGAATCAAAATATAGGCTGAAAAAAAGATAAATTCTACCACTAACAGCTCTGCTGTGTCAGATACACCTGGCAGAGTGTTACATTTATTTCTGAGAATCTCTTTTCATAAGTAGGAATACTGACTGCCCACCTTCACGACTGACTCCATTATTTGTGGTAGTTTGTCCTACCTTACTATTAAAATATTGGCATCCTTGTCTTCAGCGTGCATTGAGTAGGTGGGAAGGGAGTTGTCCTCCCAGACCACCAAGGGAGAAGCTTCTGTCCCCTGGTCTGGACTGTGGAAGCTGTAGAATCACGGTCGGGCTTGGTTTCTTCCTGTAGTTGTGGAACACGTTTCATGAGAGGTCGTTGGTCAAGGTAGCATGCAAGAAGAGCCTCGCTGCACTGAAACTGGACTATCTTGACCTCTACCTGATACATAGCCCTATGGGATTCAAGGTACTCCTGCTCTACATCCCTCTTCTTGCCTGGCTGAAAACATGGTGCATTCTGTCATCTGTGCTGTCACCTTCTTCATTATGCACCTGGGGTATGCTATGGTTCATTTGGCTGCTCCCTGAACCTGGTGGTAGCCAGCACTGAATCACTAACTAGGTAGTGGTATGTTTTAGCACGTGGGTCTGGCTTTCCACGCCTGTTAGAGCAAGATAGTCGTAGGTATGAACATTGCTAATGAGCCCCCTGAGTCTTCACGGAAACTAACTAACACAGGATGGTGCCGTTTGGGATCGTGGCCTTCTGCTAGTCCAGAAGTGTGAACACTTGGGTTTTGGAGACATTGGCTTGATCTGGTGTAACCAACAGTGAAAAATGAAGCACAGCACAGAAAGAATGTGCTTCTTTTTTTCCCAGTCTACACCTGTGTAAAATAAAAAGGTAGGGTGGTGTCTGTTCCTTTCTGTCTAGATACGCCCAAGTTACATAATTACTACTAATCCCCACTCTTTGTACACAGGGATTGATTTGTAGAAATATGGCCCTCGTCCAAACCAGAATACTGAAGAACATGTATAAGTTTTAGTTATGCAATGTGTTTAAATAACCTGCTAACTTCCTGCATATAAATCCAGTCAGAAGTGCTAGTAAACAGTAAGAAATACATACGGGGGGTGGGGTGGGGGGAGGGGGGGTTAAGAGTTGTATTATCTGCCTTGAAATAACAGGCTGGTGAAGAACTGCAACCTGTGGATGACAAGGGCATGAGTATTCCCAGTGATACAGATTTTCTGGACACATGGGAGGTAAGTTAATGTTTTCTCTTCAGAGCATGCGTCAGCATGAAAGATGGAGCAGAGGTCTGCATGCACAATGAAATTAAGGCATAGGTTTTGTACAGAGGATGGTCACACAAAATTGTATTTCATGCCCAGAACGAGCAGAACTGCTGCTATCTCTTGTTTTGGGGAACAAGAGGCATGTCTTTACTAAGACTAAAAAGGAAGAAGCTATTGGCACTGTAGGTGCTGTCACTAAAATAACATTTGAATACCCACAATGGTGGAACAGAAGCATAGCTTAATCTCTGTGTGACTGTTTTTTTACTGGGCGTTTCATAAATAGGGAATTCTCACGCTTTTCAGTGTTGAGAGTCAGCATCTCGGGCTGTCCTTCAGGCTTCCTTTCCTCATGGACTGAGGATTCAATGTCTGCTCCTGGTACCTGCAGCTCTGGGAATTAATAGTTTTCTTTACAATAGCAGATTACAATTGCAGGAAAGTATTTTGAGGTAACTGAGTTTAAGCTAACATCCTCCCTGCTGTGTTCTGCCTACTCAGAGGTAGTGTGCAGGCAGGGGAAGAGGTGGAAGGGTCTCCCCTGCTTTTTTGGCTCTTGCAAAATGAACCCCAAAGAAGCCAAAGCAAAAGAATTACAATTCCCACTATAAAAGGGAAGGCCAAGCCATTCTTCTTATATTACTTACCAATCTGCAATGGGACAGAAAGCATACAGATCATACAAGCTGCAAAGATTTTTTTTTTGGTTATTGTTCAAGATACTGTTAATTTAGTGTGAGTTGTTTGTTGGTTTGTCACTAGATTTAGGGAAACAAAATAGTGTAGTTGATAGTAATACCACCTCATAAGCACACATTGGTTGTCCTTACTCATTAGGCCATGGAGGATCTGGTGGACTGTGGTCTGGTAAAAGCCATTGGTATCTCCAACTTTAACCATGAGCAGATTGAAAGAATCTTGAATAAGCCAGGACTGAAATACAAGCCGGTAAATAACCAGGTGAGATTTTTATTTCCATTGATGTCAACTAACCTTGGAATATTCCTAAATATATTCATGCTGTTTCAGCTATAAAACTGGCTACTGCCATGACCTTTAAATAGTTTTGGTGCCACGGAAAGGTCTTGCAAAGCACTAGGTATCTCTGGTTGTCTGAAAGACCCTTCAAGTCAGTGCTGTCTGTGATATGGAAGTCTTCAGTACTGTATCAGCCTGTTTTTTAGCTGACCAGGATCTCAACAGAAAAAAATTTGTAGACTTGTGTGTATATAATGCAGTGAAGATTGGAGAGCAATATCATACAAACCAGTATGGATTATGCATATCACAGTAATATGAAACAGATGAGAATATTTCATTTTTAGACATTGGAAAACAGTGAAAATACCTGTTACCTTATATAGGACCTTGCAGCTTTCTGCTACACATCCTTTTTCATGCTGCCAAATACCACTTGGATATCACAGCCCAAGTTACGACAGGCCCATTTCCGCAAGCTCTGGAATAAACAGCCAAATCCCCACTGCAAGCTACTGCAAAGGTGTGGGCATGCACAGGAATGCTCTAACTAATTCACTAGACTTGTTTATTTTATGCTGAAAAATAAATCATTTCGCTGAACTTCTTTATAAAAAGGAGGGTTGAAGTGTACAATTATATAACAAATTCTCCCCACGTACCTCATAAATGAAATCACGGGACAGCAGGGGCACGGGACCTTCTGACTTTCTGCCGTATGCGACTTCTTTGCACTCGCCTGAGGGTGCTGAATGCCCATCTCTGCCAGCTTGGGAATATCCAGGGAGATCCTCACACTGGGTCCTGTGCAGGCAAAGTGCTGCCTGTGCTTGGCTCCTGGGCTTAGGGCTAGTGTGTGCACTGGCCAGGCTTAGCACAAGGGGGACATAGGACTTGGAAAGATTTTATTGAGGGCTATAAAGTTCTGGTGGGGATGGACCCAACCACCCCAATGTTACAAGCTGCTTCAACTTCAACAGTTTAAAGAACTTCAGGCTTTGACTGTAGTTTGCTTCTCTGTGGGTGTGCCTCTGCCACATGCCGTTGTTACAGTAGTTGCCTAACCTAGCTCAGGTCTAAATAAACTACTGTACACGACTTCCTGTCACCATGCCTGGTAGCAAAGCTCTATAGCATTTAGAAACAGCTGAGTATGTGTGTGGTGCCGCGTTATACAGCGTAGACATAGCCCTGTGGTCATACTATGGCTTGTGGCAAGTTGAGCAGCATCCCTATGAAGGCTCCTGTTGTTCACAGTTAAAGGATGTCTTGCCTGAATGGCTGGTCACAATATGATCTGAACTAACCTAGGGAAGCTCATCACCCCAGGCTTCTTCAGGAATCAGGGAGACTCCTTGAGGAGAGGAGAGGTTGTGTGTCTTGGGGCAGAAACTAAGCTTCAGGTGTTCTGAGCTGTCCCTTTGAAGATGCAATCCTGCTCTGCAGTAGTCCAGGAAGACCAATTTCACCAATTCCTGAGGCAGATAGCACTTTCACTCTTCTCGTCTGTTTCTCGTGATATCTGTGTAGTATGTAGCATGAGGAAACCCTGTTCTCTGTGCTAGTCCTCTAGATATTGCTGTGACATTAACAACGTTTTTATAACGTAGATTTTAATCATGATATCAAGAGTCTTTTTTTCACATTTTATGTGTCCCAAGAGTAATTAAAATGTTACGCTCTGGAGCCTGGTGCAGTCTGCGTCTGTATCAACCACCATGTTTCTGTGCTTGCAGATTGAATGTCATCCATACTTAACCCAGGAAAAGTTGATCAAGTACTGTAAATCCAAAGGGATTGCTGTGACTGCGTACAGCCCCCTTGGCGCTCCTAACCGTCCATGGTAAGAAAGCATTGCAGCCTTTCTGTACACAAAACAATGCATTTGCAACTTGAATCTTTGAAGCAGATGATGTAAATAATGCAGGTACAATGAGAAAAGTGCTGTTGCTTTGTTGCAGATTGTCATACAAAATGTCAGGCTTCCTGCAGGGAAACTAATATTTTTCTACCATTGATATTCTGGCTTTTGTTTTTAATAGGGCCAAGCCAGGGGAACCTGTGCTGCTGGATGATCCCAAGATTAAAGAGATTGCCGTTAGACATCATAAAACTCCTGCCCAGGTAAGTGGGGTTGTCAGGACGACCTGTTCCTCCTCCTCAGACACTTACAGGCTGATGGCCAGTCTTAGTATCCTGCCTTCTCTAGGGATACAGTATAATGGTGCTGAACTGCACTTGACTCTTTGCATTGCACCAGTTCTTAACCAGCATTCATATGAATTACCAGGTATTTTCTAAGAGGTCTTGAGTGCTGAGTTTTGAGGGGGGCTCATCAGCAGTGCTTACCCCAGGTATTCCCCTTCCTAGGAAGATTTCCTCTGCTCCCAGAGAGAAGTGGTTGCTCTCAGAGAACTCCTTTCCTCTGAGGTTTACTTACAAATCATCAAGCCAACTTGCATTTCCTGTCTCCAGCTAAGTGAGCTAAGTTATTCTTCAGATGAGTCCTGTAATTTGCAGACTTACTTGATTGCTCCCTGTTCACTCACATGTACGAAGAGAATGATGGAATTTTTTTCTCTATTGGATGCTTCTCACACAGATGAGTTCTGGCCCAGGGTGTGCAGAAACTGCACTTCAAACAAACCCACATGTTCACAAGCAATCAGCCACAGTCATTTTAACACCGGCAGAGCAGGACAAAAAATTGTACGCAACAGGCCTCTTTTGAGGTGGGGCAGGCTTTTAAAATCTATATATAAATTTTTTTTTTCCTTTTAAGGACTTCAAAAAGCTTAACCTAGGTGAGGTAGTTACCTGTGAGCCCAAAATAATCTGCAGTATCACTACATTCATTTGGTCTGAGCACCCATGTAACACAAGCCAGAAACAGCATAATTTTTCTCCCCTCCTCCTACCCTAAATGGAAACAAAACAAATCCTGGGGAAGCCAGGATGTAGAAACAATACAAACAGGAACAATTATAGTTTGTCAGTAGACTGCAAGCAAATGCTGGCACATCAAGCTCTTATATGCAAACTGGTAGAGTCTTCCAAAGAGTGAACATGGTTATAGAAAAAGAAATTGGTTTGTACATGGAAAAAAAAAAAGTGAGAGAACACAAAATGCTTTTGAACAGATTTCTTGGTACTCCTGTGTTCATGCTCCTCTTTGTCTTTCCTAGATTCTGATCCGGTTTCTTATCCAGAGAGACGTGATTGTCATTCCCAAGTCTGACAAACCACAGCGTGTTGAGGAAAACATCAAGGTGAAGTTTTGTATCCTTTTACACAGGATAGGCACCCACACTTGTATCTCCTCCATATTTCCAAGCAGTACCTAAGAGGCATTGGAAGGGGAGTGCAGAAATGTAAAGGTAGGGGCCTAGCACTACCCAGCCGTCTGCACCTGTTCTCTGGGGAAAAGCATTTTGTTTCTGTCAGGAGAGAAATGGGTTACACCGGGGTGGTCTGAGCTCTGCTGCTCTGGAAAGGGAATCCCAGTTTTGGACTTCACACTCTGGGAAGTGCTTAGAGAGCCCCTCTTTAGGGTGTAAAGGAAGAAACTGTAAATACCAGACCCAGTACAGTTTATGTCTTGCTTTGAGGCTGTGGTTTCCCTTGGCAGGGAGATTCAGCTGGATGTTTGCTGATAAGGCCTGGCATCTAGATGATATCTCAGTGTTACTTTCAATTCATGCTGCTACATTTTGGACTTACTTCTTCTATGAACACCAACAAGAATTCTTAGATGATTGACTAACTGTGAGACAACTATTTGCAGCTGGTACCCAGTAGTCCTCTGTTGTAGCAGAAATATTTACCTCTAGTTCCAGTATTTGTGACACATGGAGTAGTCCTTCCTTAGCACCTTAAGTTTTATGTCAGTGCATTACAACAAACTCAGTGGTGTTTGCATTGAATGATGCAGAACTATAAGACATTGCTATGAACAGCACCTCAGAAAGAAAAGGACTATCTTGATTACTTCAAGGGTATTTGGCTGTGAAATAAGAGGATTTCTTAACTATGCTTAGTGTGGATGCAGTATGTTCCTACCTCAAGTTATAAATGCATGAGCACCCTTAGAGCTAACTACTCATGAAACTAAGTAAAAAGGGCTTTCTTTTGTTTTTTTGTTTTTTTTTCCCCCCTGCTAGGTGTTTGACTTTGAGCTGTCTAAAAAGGAGATGGACGTCATCCTCAGCTTTAACAGGAACTGGAGGGCAGTTACAGTGCTCCAGTATGTTCCTTGCTATCCTTACTATCCACTAGGCCTATCTCTTTCTGTATTTTCATCCCCCATATCTTGAAAACCTGTATGACCAAAACCAGGGAGAGCACATATCTTAGTCCCTGGACCACAGGGAACAAGACATGTCTTGGAACTGATGTCAGGAGGGAGATTCATTCAGGGCATTCCCTTCAGCATCTTGGTGATGCATGCGCTTGCTCACAAGCCTGTGTTCAAATTAATGACAGCAGCAAAACTGGAGTACATTGGCAGTGGGGGAGGGAGACTGCAGTAGAGAAATGCTGCTGATTCTACAATACTTAAATAACCAGTTCTTTCTCTTCTCAGAGCTGTCAATCACAAGGACTACCCATTCAAAGCAGAATATTAATACCAGGAGTTTCTGCAAGACCTCCATGTAACCCCTTCCACATTAGAAGATGTACTCCGTAGCTTGGTCTTGGTTTCTTCTTCTGTACTTGACAATCATTACGAGTAGTTACTTGCCCTCCTTTTTTAGGAGATGACCACTAGCTGGTATAAGAATGCATCAATAGGGATGCATCTTTTGTAAAGCTGGTTAGCAGAAATCTGGTTTTGGTTCATAGCAAAAAGACAGCGTTTCTTCATTTCCTTTTTTCCTTTGCTTTCTTAATGGAAGGTATTTTTAACAAAAAACTCTTGATAATTACATAATTTTTATGTTATTTCCAGTGTGGTCAGTCTTACTGGCTCATGGGTTGCTGTCAAGGAACGTTCTCTTTAATTACTTTGCTTTTTACATAGTTGTGAATTTTATAGTGTGAATCTCTAACACTTCAAAATTTTATATCAATAAAGTTTGAATAACAACAAAACAATCAGTGTAGTACTTAAGTTTTTTCATTCATGCCTGAAATCTGTTTGTTTTGTTGGTTTTTTTTTAATTGTAATACAGATAGAAATAAGCTTCTATAGTTCCTGTGCAAGGATAATACAGAGAGACTACTTTGTGAATAAAGTTTGAATAACAACAAAACAATCAGTTTTTTCATTCATGCCTGAAATCTGTTGTTTTTTGGTTTTTTTTTTTAACTGTAATACAGATAGAAATGAGCTTCTATAGTTCCTGTGCAAGGATAATATAGATAGACTACTTTGTAGTTTACACATCCAACAGGATTGTGCTCTAGCTAGACAGAACCTAAAGAACAAAGTTGTACTAATTATCTCACATAGCCCTCCCTCTGAACACCTAGAAAGTAACTCTTGTGTGATTAGTGGTAAAAAGTTGAAGATGGCAAGAATCATATGCAGGGATAACACATCAAAATACACCCAGCTGAACATAAGGGCTACTATACAGAGTGACCTGCTCTGGAAGTGTCAAACACAAGATTAGATTTTTTGCCACTGTGCTGGCAGCATTCAGAACAATATATCCAGACAAGGATTGGCTTTATCTAAAGAAAACATAGAAAAACTTTTCTTTCAAAACACCAAAGCAAACCCTGAGGTAGACTCACAATCGCTTTATTTTCAGGTAGATAATGCTAAGCCAAAGCAAAGGCAGTCTTGAAAAAGCTGTTTTGTGGCAGTCTGCATACTGACAAGAGAAAATCTGGCTAGGATGCCAAGTGAGCTGCAGGAAAGCGTGATCAGAAACTAAGGTGACAATTTGGTATCGTCTGAAAAATCGTCACCTTGTAATGGCATCAAAACGCAAAAAAAAACTTGTAGTGCTGCCAAGTGAGCCACTGGGATTTGTCTGGCAGATTCTGCTAGGAGGCGGTGCCAGCTGGTGGGAACAAACTGTGACGGCACCACTTTACAGTATTTCCTAACAGTAAAACTGATAGTACCCAGCATGCTGCCATGCTCTCAGAAAAGTCAGTAACCAGGAGCAAAAGAAACTTAGCTACATCAACAAGGAAAAAAGTCACTTCAGCAAAGCTTGCAGAGAAATGTAGCAACGTACTTGACTGGTCAGCAGGAGGCAGGAGAACAGGCACACTTTAAAGCATACAAGTGTTTTTCAGGTGAAAATTAGGCAGCAACCCATCATTTCTCCTCCAGTAGTTCAGAGAGCTGTGCTTGCTGCAGCCTTCCCAGTGCTTCCCATGGAGCTGGCAGCAGTCTGGGGGGCCTGTTTTGGATGACCACGACCTGGTTAGAGCAAAAATTAAGGCGGTTGGAGCACGAAGGGAGAGCTAGCAGCTCCCCAGGCTTGGTCCCTGTGATCATCCAAGGCTGGAAGCACATGCCACCAAGACAGATGGAGAAACACGATGGCTCTCGCACAGAAAACATTTTTCAAAGCAGGGAAGCAGGCGGCTGTACCATTGGGTCAGAACCTACTTTGCTGAGCACACTGGCACCGTGATAGACAGGACAGTCAAGATTCTCCCATCCTCCCCTCAAGAATATGTAGGTTAAAGCTACTGATTTTATGACTTGGCAGTCTGCTGTAGGATAGTACATCAGGAGAGATATCCTTCAAGCTTCTTTGCAGTGATACCTTATCTTACACAGCCCTAGCACAATTCCCAGCTCATTCCTACTCATTAACAAACAGGGGGTGCTGATGGAAATATTCCATTTATTGTGGATGCAGTTTCAGAATACATTGTTTGAACAAATCATTTTTATTGCAGCTATCGGATGTATTTGAAAGACTCAGAGGAGTGTTTACAAAACCCCCAAACAAAAAACATGACAACTCACAGACAATGTCAGGCACAGTTTCATCCCCTACAGATAACTATGTGCATCTCTATATGTAAACAAGATGTTTCATCCAAGCAGGCGAGCTCATCTTTGGGTTGAAATATAACATTACTTTTCTTCAGGAAGAAGTCAGATGTTGTAAGAGGTGGAAGTGGTGAAATGGGAGATCCTGGTGGTTCTGGTGCACAACAAAGCTGTTAACAACGTGCTCAGGGGCTACTTCAGTTGTTCAATTTATACCACCCATACACTGTAGGATGTAAATGCTAAACTGTATGGCATGTAAATTCAAACCAAGCTGACGTCTTATAGCTGTGTGTTTACTATATACAAATGAAAATATCTGTAAATAAGATATTCGGGAGAGAGAGTTAAAAAGAAGCACTATAAAGATAGAGCTTTACTTCATATTAGATGGACTCAGTGTACGGCACTGATGGATGGCAAGACTTAGTGTACAGTCATTTGAAACAAGCTCCAACTGTATTTAGGTTTTTTTTTTTTCTTTTTAATTATGGTAGTTTTATATAAATTAAACTACAATGTTTTATACAAGTGACCTATTTTTGACCCTCTATACCCTTACCTTTCCCACTTTTAAAAACTATACTTTCTTTTTAATTACCCGTTACTGGGCAACTGACATTTAAAATTTTTTAATACTTATCTCACCATACCTCTAATGGCAAATATGAAATCTTACTACAGAAAAGTGTGTGATTTTGTCTTTATTTTCTTAAGCTGTGATATTGGCTAATTATGTATGTTTATTACTAAATATAATACTCTAGCATGTATTAAAGCATTCTACCATTAGTAGTGCCTTTAGGCTAAACTTTGTAAAGCTATGTGTGTATATATTCTAAATTGCATTCAATTACTAGTCACTAACAACAAAAAGAAATATCAGTACCGCTGTCAGCTAACGTAATCAACCAAATTTAGGTATTAACTTAAACTAGAATGGAAAAATTGATACTTAAAAAAAGTATAAAACAAAAAAAATTAAAACACGTTATTGATGCAGTATTTCTCATGACATGGGCAACTTACAGAAAATATTACATTGTCAACTAAAGATATTTCTTCCATGCCTTAGTCTAAAGTGCAGAAAGAAAGACTTCTGTATTACAAAAGTAACCATTGTTTTCATAGGTTTACTGCACACCTTTCTTAAGCAACTTCACTTTACATGCATTTTGGGTTGACCTCTTATGCCAGTTGAAATCACTGTCCAAATACATAGTTAGCTATGACTATCAGTAGGAGAGTCTATATATTTCACAGCATGGGTTTCTTAGGAATAAAGGCTCTTGTGCAAAGGCAGTACTATTATGATGAATGTCTAGATTGATTATTAAATACAGTGCTAATATACATGGTTTTAACTGGGATAATGCAAAGAGACATTTTGGTAAATAAACATAAATATAAAAAGAACAATTTAGCACTTTTTCCTTTTTTTTTCTTTTTTTTCCCCAACGGATTGGTCCAGCGTCTTTGAGAAGCCTTCTATGGTTCTTTCTCAAATTGTCTCAAACCTGCTGAGAAAGAAAAAGATTAAAGATGGCTTGAAATAAGCCAAACATATCCCTAAAATAGAGAAGGCATGGCTCTAGATTAACACACAGCATGTAAGGCAGCAGGACAGAAGCTGGGTGCTGCTGTGCTCGTATACTGGGATTGCTCAGAGGTGGTCTCCAAGAGGACAAGTAGGATTTCATTTCTCTCACCTCTGACAGCCCCAAGAAGCAGCTCAGTGAGAGCTCAGGAGTTCCCCACTCAGAAATGCAGGGGGTGCTGCACCCAGCGGTCTCCCTAGCTGTGCGTGCGTGGCTGCCATGCTAGGGCAGGCTGTGCTGCAGGAGCCCATGGCAAGACCGAAAGCTGGCTCCTAAGACCCTCCTCCTGCAACCCCTATGCTGAAGCCCTCATCAAGCTCAGCCTTAGAGGAGAGGCTCAGCAGTGTCTGAACCACTCAGTGGGGTCTGCTCCTGTGGGTGACACCTTCCATGGGAGCAGAGCTGTGCTAACGCCAAGCGAGCCTGAAAACCCCTCCAACTAACAGCTTGGTTTGAAAAAGAGGAGGAGGAAGGCAATTCTGTTTTGCATGGCTCCAAACTGGTTAGAGAAGTTCACAGTCATACCATTCCTCTGGCTTCACATGTGAATGTGAAGAAAAATGCATGCACGTATTAACATATAGAAAACCAAAAGTTTTTCTGTATTTGATCATTTCATTCCTAGTGAAGAGTTGAGGGATGCTGCAAGGCACCTTTAAAGCTATTAAATTGATCAGTGAATTTCCATTCTTCCCTACTGGTCCTTAAGCACATAATTCCTTTCGTTAGTTTTATTTGGAGTGTTTTAGATTAAAATTGAAATTTAAAAAAGCTAGGAGGGTAATTTTGCTGATTTCTTTCTGTACAACTAGGTTGTGTTTCCCAGACTAACAGTTTCAAAACAACAGTAGTAAGACTGTTTTGGCCTTGAGAAGACACCAATGCACAGCTCCAGCAAAAGCAGTGCTGCTGCTGGGTACGTTTGAACTCCAGTCCAGTCTGGGTATGCAGGAGCACATGAGACCAACAATCATCTAGAAGTGTTTTTAAAAATCAACCCTGCTGAAATTTCATTTGGCTTCACGATTAGCCAGTGGCAGTGTTCAAAATGAGATGCAGGGCTCATTCTCAGTAGTACTGAGATCTTCCATTTCTGCTCAAATAATGTTTCTGCAACAGCCTGGCTTTTTAGGTTCCCCC